TTCTTTTTTTTCTCACCTCACAGCAAAGATCAAGATTGATTTGAAAGCAGATTTTAAAATGGCAGGCTACAAGGATGATATGGAAGGAGATGTTACATTGGACAAGCAAAAGAAACTGATGGATGTCTTAATAATCAATAGGGATATGCAAACAGCAAATCAAGAAAGTGACCCAATAAATTTTTAAATATTGGATTTACAAAAGAGGCTTGTAAAAAATTTTAAAGAATTTTGTGAGAAGGGACAAAGAACAAGTGAAAAGATTTCTATGACATTAATTGATGCTACTAAAGATCAAGATTGTTAGAAATAAATGGAAGTTAGCTTATTTGATCTATATTAAAATTAGTATACTGTTATCTGTTAACCTTAATGGATTTTTGCCTATATCAGGATTGACATGGCTTTAAAAATTTGTTTATAGATAAAGAGTTGGGATAGGGGAAGAAATATTCATACTTGCAATGAAGGGGAAATCATCTGTTTATGTATTTCTTTACAGAGCCATGAAGAAAAATTTTTGAACACATGTCATATAAAATCACTCAGATTCGTTCCTGGTTAGAATCCATGCATAGAGCAGGTCTTGCCCAGTAAGACCTGGGAACAGTTGGGAACAGTTTGATCCTGTTGGCCCTAAGGAAGTGGACAGGACCCTCTGCACTGTCAGTGCAACTACCTGTCAATTAGACCCTTGTCTCTCCTGACTGGTGAAAGCCTCCAGAATGGTGACTAGCAGGTAGATTCGTACAATGATAAATTCCTCACTGCAAGAGGGGACCAGGACCATTCCCAGAGCCTGATTAGTCCTCTCCTTAAAAAAACATCATTTGACCCCACCTATAGTATTTGGGCAACTTTTGTCCAATTTCTCATCTTCTCTTTTTAGGGAAGGTGGTAGAAAAGGTGGTTGCTTGGCAGCTTCAGAAGGTTCTGGCTGGAACAGATTTTCTGGACCCCCTTCAGTCAGAATCCAGGCCTGGCTATGGGACAGAGACAGTTTGTTGCACTTATGATCTCTGGTGAGAACAAGACGAAGGTAATGCAAACATTCTTACTCTCCTCGACCTCTCAATGGCTTTTGATACCATTGACCATGGATCCTTTTAGGCTGGCTATGTGAGTTGGGGATAGACGGCGGTTTTGCACTGTTTCAGCTCCTTTCTCCAGAGCTCGTCCCAATAGATGTTGATAGGGAGTGAGTGATCCACCACCCCCCGCTTGTGGTATACTGCAGGGCTCGGTACTCTCTATTCTCCAATTTAACATCAACATGAAGCTGCTGGATGAGACCATCAGATCATCACTATCATGGGTTGAGATATTATTAGTATACTGATGATACTCAGTTCTACAATCTCTACACCTGGTGATCTGAGTGCTTCTGTCTTTACCTTCTCATGGTGTCTGGAGATGGTATTGACATGGATGGGGGACAACAGGCTTCAGATGAACCTTGCAAGAACCCTGGCAAAAGAACCCTTGGGTGCCTGGAACCTCAAGATCTGAGTTTTTGTCCTCCTTGTTCTGAATGGGTTGCACTGCCCCATTCAGATCCAGTTTGCAACTTAGGGGCTCTTCTGGACTCACAACTCCTGCTTGAAGAACAACTGATGGGGTGTGACTAGGAAACTTTTACACAGCTCCAGCTTATGCATCTGGATTTTGATTCCTTGCACTCAGTTATTCAAGCCCTAATAATCTCTCGTTTGGACTATTGCAATGTGCTCTACACAGGGCTAGCCCTGAAATCCAATTGGAAGATTCAGCTGGTTCAAAGTAAAGCAGTGAGAGCAGTCTTTGGGGTCCCTACAATGGCCCGTATTATACCTCTGGTCCCCAAACTGAAGTTACTACCAGTCTACTTCTGGATGCATTTCAACGTGTTGGTTATGACCTTTAAAAGCCTTAATGGCATAGGTCCAGGCTATGTGATGAACTTTCATCCTGCTAAAACAAGCCTACCCCATTTGTGCTGGCAGGGAGGGCCTACTGTGGATCCAGTCAGAGAACAATGACTATTGGAATCCAGAAGAAGAATCTTCTCTACCATAGTGCCCACTCTTTGGAACATCCTACCCTCCAAGGTGAGATCTGACTCCACCTTCCTAACCTTTCATAAGAGCCTAAAGATCTGGCTCTGCTGATTGGTCTAGGGATCTAATGGGGGAGTACCACACTGGAAGTGGCTACTAGACTGGTAGCAAACCCCACCTCTCTCCTTGCTTCCTGCTTCCCCACCTGCCCATCTTTTATTCTCATATCATTGTATACTCAGTTTTCTTTTTATTATTCTATTGTTTCATTACTTTACTACTGTTATGTTTACATTTTTTTCCATTTTTTTTGTAAGCCGCCTAGAGTAGCCCCATGGTGAGACAGTCAACAAATAAATTGAACAAACCAACAAACAGACTGAAGCATTATGCAGAGTTAACATTGAAGGAAAGGTATACTCCAGGCTTAGATATTTTCAGCAGCTAACATCAACATCTGGACTTGTTTAAAGCTTGTATCCTTGCATGTACAAATTTCTCTTTTTTTCCGGTTGCTGTGATATTTGTGTTGGATTTGAGAATGTAAAACTACAGTATGGGCCAGGTTACATGATGATACTTGGGTCAAACTTAAATATGTCAACATGAAAGTGAAATGTATGTTTGCTATCCTACTGTCTTCAGAGTCAGGTACATAACTCTAAATTAACAGCATTTCTGCTTTATATACTGTATTCAGTCCCAGGCATCTTGATCTTGCTCACTGAAAACCCTATTAGCACACTGAGAAAAATAATATATGCTATACCTTGATTCATATTTTGATAATGTTTTTTCTTCCCAAGCTGTGTTGCCACCTCCAAAGTTCTTCTTTGCTGTGTCTGTTAGACCCTTCAGAACACAAGTTTGATAAAATGACATTTTTCAAAATATTGTTTTTACCAAAAGCAGACATTTGTTTTAAAAATATATATTCTAGCCTACAGTACACTATACTTTATAATCAATTATATATTTGTAATAACAAATATTATTTTTTTAGTTCCTTGTTTCTGAAGAATAGTTTAAAGAAATCTGAAAGCAACAGGTTACTTTATTTTTACAGTTTACTATATCAAGGTCTGGTAAGAAATATTTACAGAAAGTGTACATGCAATACAGAAATGTATTACTCTGCAGATGAATTAATTTACCCTTTTTTGAAAGCTCATACAAGTCCATATGAAGATTAACCCCTATTAATTGATAGATTATTGCTCTTTCTACCTGTTTGCACCCAAACCGGCAAATATTAAGCAGCATTTTTGAAAGCACTCTTTTTATCAGCATGCTCTGAAATCAGAAACAGCAATTCAAAATTTCATTGGTGTCAGTGCACCTAACAGTACTCTTCTTTCCAATAATTAATCCCAATATGAAAGAATTCTAATTTTGTACAGTTCTCAACTAATATTTTCTCAAGTCATAAGTTAAGGTACTACATGTTTGAGTTTTTAAATGGTTGGAATCTGATTTTCACACGTTATGCACCAGCCTAACTATAAATCCATATCCCTATCAGTAACACCATAAAATTGAATTAGGGTTAGAGTTAAGGTTTTAACAAATGCTTTCTGTTATGGTTTAAAATTTAAGGATTACTTTTTAAAGAAACGCTTCTAGAACATGAGAGCAAGTTTGGTGCATTGGTAGAGGGGCTAGTACAGGTAGCAAAGCGGTTGTTTTACATTTTTGCCACAATTGTTAAGTGAATTATGCCATTGTTAAGCAAACCTAGCTCCCAACATTGACTTAGCTTGTTGGGAAGCCAGCTGGGGATGATAATCACATGACAATAGAAAGTGCCATGTCATAAATACAGGCTAGTTACCGATTGTCTGCTTTTTGATCACATGATGAGGGGGGATACTGCACCGGTTGTAAATGTGAAAAATGGTCATATCACTTCCCCCCCCATTTTTAACTTCAAATGATCACTAAATGAATAGTTATAAGTGGAGGACTAACCAGAAGGCTGTGAGGTCTAGGTCTGCTTTAGGCATGAAAGCCAGCTGGGTGATTTTGGGCCGGTCTCAGCTCAACCCACCTCACAGGGTTGTTGTTATGAGGAAAACAGGACGCAGGAAACATTAAGAAAGTTCACCACCTTGGGTTAATGCTGAAGCCCACCTGTTAGGACACACCCCTAACTATAATGCTGTTAAAAATAAGCCAACGCACAGGATAACTTATTGGTGCTAGAATTTTTAAAGGACTAGTTTTAATGAGGGGGGCGGGGAAAGCCAACTTTCCCCTATTATTTTGGACTATTTTAAAGTACGCGCCAGGCTCAGTTAAGGTCTCTCACTCCGCCCTCCTTTTTACACTTAGCTGCCTACCTACAGCTGCTGAGAAAAGGTACCCAGTTTCCCTGCTTCCCACCTGAGTGAATCGGTCGGCGATCCCTCGACAGGTGTTGCAGGCCTGCCGGAGCCTCTCCTCGGAGGTGCCCAGAGCCAGCGACCCGGGCGGGAGAGAGGCAGCCAGGAGGATGAGGAAAGCAAAAGCTTCCAGCCATCTCCACGCAGCCCAACCGGCTTTCATGGCGAGCAGCCCTCCTGCTCCAAAAGCCGGCTCTGCTCCGGGCTCATTCAGAACTATGCCTTAGGCCCGCCCACATTCACCTCCAGCCAATCGTTCGGCCCACAGTGGGGACCCTCGTGCCAGTAAGCAGGGCACGTGGCCCAATCGCAGCTCGCCACGCTCCGAGCCAATGAGCATTCCACGTAGGGGTAAAGAAGGAAAGCGAAGAGCTAGGAACTGAACCATAGATGCACGTTGAGTTCTAGTTTCAGGTTTGTGACGTCATTCCTTAGAATTTTGTTTTTAAAGCGAAGAAGTAGAGGTCATTCCCGTAAATGCAAATCTGTTCCGTTGCAGAAAGTGTGTTACTCACCCAATACACTTTGCCAACATCCCAATTTCTAGGATAACTAACGTCCCATTGGCTGCCTATAAAGAAGGGAAAAATAAACAGAAACCATCGTAATAATAAAATAAACCCCCCCAAAAGGGAAGAACCTTCCTACAGGACATAGAATGGTTGAGCGGAGCGTTATTTTCTCCCTCTCTTTTCAAGGATCTTTCACTCAGGGAGTTGCCAGTAATGAGGATTCGTTCAAAAATGCCAGGACGCTGCGCAGAGGTCAGTCAAGAAGGATGAAGGAATAAAGAAGCTCTGCACTTTGGCAACGAGAGAGAACAGATTAAGAAACAGACTTTCGGGGCTCACGATGACCACTTTTTGATGGGAGAGGGAGGGATGGGGAGGGCCGGCCCGAAGTGCAAGAAATACCCCCAATTCACTGGAGTCGCCTCTCAGGTCAAGTCCGGACAGTGACAGAAGGAAATGATATCTCTTCCTATCCGAGAACATTGCAGAACCTGCCGATTAAAGGAACGGGACGGAGAAAAGCCAGCGAACCTTTCTCATTAACTCTTCCGATGCGGCCCCCGAGGAAAAAAAGGAAAAGCGCAGCCTACGGGGAACTTCAGTGCAAGTCTCCGAGCAAGGCAAATCACGTGACAAAGCCGGCCCCGCCCCCTGCCTCTGGATCCGAGGAGTGTCACGTGATCTCGGGGATCGGTCGGGAGAGTCCACGTGGGCGCCTTCCGGGTGAGTCCGGCTGGGTTGGAAAGAGGGCGGTGGAAGCGCCTGGTTTTTTCCCGGCTGGCCCTGGAGGGTTACGTGGGTCTCTCGTTTGGGCTGCTCAGTTGCATCGGGAGGAAGGTGGGGAAAGAAGGAGCAGACGCGGGAGACTCGCCTTCATGGGAATAATCAGATTTAAAAAGAGTTCCGGTGAAGAAGATGCTGGCAGAGAAATTAAAAGTGGGGTGTCTAAGACTTGAGGGAAATGGGATGAAGGTAGAGCGTTCTCAGCCACGGAAGCCCACTGGGGGAACTTGAGCCTCTTTCTCGTTCTCAGTTCAGCTTCGCTCTCAGGATGATTGGGATCAACAAATGGAGAAGAGTACTATATTTGTCTGATTTAAACTCTTGAGCAAAGGCAGGAGATAAATCAACTCCATTAAAAAGAATTTCTCCTTTCCACTTTTGCATTTAAAATATCTATCTCAAGTTTCCTTCAAGCGATGTCTTGTTTAAGAAATAATGAAGGAATCTTACTTGCCTGGAGGAAGAGGGATATGGTGGAGTAGGGCAGTGATGTCAAACCTTTTAGAGACCGAATGCCCAAACTGCAACCCAAAACCCACTTATTTATCAAAGTGCCAAGGCTGCATCAGCATTGTGCCCTGAGGGGAGCACTGGGGGCGTGGCTGGGATGAGCGTGGCCACCTGGATGTTGCTGGGGGGGAATGATTGTGGCTGGGCAGGGTTGGGGGAGATCCAGGGGGGTCTCTGGAGGGTAGGGCTGTGGGAAGAGGCACGTCCTGCGGGGTGAGGCGAGGCAGGTGCTGGGATGGCTGCTGCCTGACATCATTGGTTCCCACACAGGTCAGTGAGCGCATAGAGGCCAGTGGTGTCTGTCAGCGGCCACAGCCTGCCAGCCTCTCGACCAGTGCACTCGGGATCCGCAGCCCAATGCCAATACCAGGGCAGCCCTCCAGCAGCGGGGGGAGGCACATGATGCAGACCGCCCGACACCTGTGTTCCGTCCCATCTGTTTTTGCTTGCGGTTGGAGAGCAGGTTGCTGCTGGTCATCTCGGCCCCCTCACAGATCTTGCCCTTGGTCCACACCTGGAGCCTGTTCCCCTCATGCACCTGATGCACCATGGCTCTGCCTCAGGCTGCCGCTGCCAGCAGCTTGCACAGGTCCATTAGGCCGCCGCCCAGAGCGGCAGCCCCACCCAGCACAAAGGAGGTGAAGCAGCCGCCTAGCAAGCTTGATTAGAAATGGTAGAGCACACCCATGCCCAGCAAGCCAAAGGCCACTTTGAGCGGTCACCCCGAGCGGGGAGAGCCAAATTCCCATTGGCGCTATGGCCCCACAGTCCCAGCTAGGATTGCATTCCTCCCCCCTCATCTTCTGTTGGGCCTGGACAGCTATGATGCCAATGGGGATCCGGCTTTCCCCACTTGGGGTGGCCTTTTTCCTGCTACCCTGGGCCTGCTCTACCATCTCTACGTGGGGCTTCCTAGCTGACCGCCTTTCCTCCTTCATGCTGGGCAGGCCTGCAGCTCTGGGCGGTGGCCTAATGGACCTGTGCGAACGGCTGGCAGCCATGGTAGGTACCAAGGTGCGCGAGGGGAATGCACTCCACCCGCAGGCCAAGGGCCATGCAGCCCCTGCTGCCGGATTCTGTCAGCCCATGCGCTTTCAGCAGGTGGAGCACATTCCCCTTGCACACCTTGGTACCTACCGCGGTTGCCAGCCACTTGCACAGGTCCATTAAGCCACCGCCCAGAGCTGCAGGCCCACCCAGCATGAAGGAGATGAAGTGGTTGGCTAGGAAGCCCTACATAGAGGTGGTAGAGCACGTCTAGGCCAGAGGCAAATCCCCATTGGCGTCATGGCTGCCCAGGCCCAACAGAGATGGGGGAAAGGCACCCAATCTTAGCTGGGACTGGGGGGGCATGGTGCCGATGGGGATCTGGCTTTCCTTGCTTGGGGTGGCCTTTGGCTTGCTGGGCGTTGGCATGCTCTTACCACCTTACTCAAGGTTGCTAGTTGGCCGCTTCACCTCTTTTGTGCTGGGCAGGGCTGCCGCTCAGGGCACCGGCGGTGGCCTAATGGACCTATGTGAGCTGCTGGCGGTGGCAGCGCGTGTGACCACAGACAGGGCTCTGAGTGCCACCTCTGGAATAGGGGATGGAGGTTTAGTTTTTCTCCAGGTCCATGGCTTCCTCCCCACCCCACCCAGTAAAGTGACAGGCTGTTCCACAGGCCAGCTGAGGGTGAGGAGAAAGAAGAATCTAGTGAAGATCATGAGAGAAGGGGAAACAGCTTCCTTCCCTCCCTCCCTCCTTCCCTTCCTTCCTTCCTTCCTTCCTTCCTTCCTTCCTTCCTTCCTTCCTTCCTTCCTTCCTTCCTTCCTTCCATTTTTGTCTCATCTTTGGTACTTTATCAGTAATTAAAGGCAGCAAACATACTTAATATTCCTTCTTTCTCTTTTTCCCCACAACAACAACCCTGTGAGATGGGTTCGATTGAGAGAGTGACTGGCCCAAGGTCAGACAGCAAGTTTCACAACTAAGTGTAAATCTTTGTCCCCCTGCTCCAAAATATAATACCTTAATCCACATTATTACATATATTGGAAAGGATGAGCCAATGGATCACTGGTTGTCTAGTAATTACCAAAGCTTCCATATTTTGGACCAACTGTAGCTTCTGCATTATCTCCAATAATAGGACAATAATGACGATTGATCCATTATGTTTTCTGAAAGAACAAGGTGGTATGATGTTTAAAATATGTTGTGCCTATAATCAGCTTAAGTAGAGCTTCTTGACTTCCGTTTGCTTGCAGCTGGGGCTAGACAATGGAGTTAGCTAGCCTTTCTCCTGTTGGTTTCTGGGAGGCTTCTCCTGGACAATCGGGGAGACCGCCATCTCTCCTAGGTCCCTGGGTCTACCTTCCTTCATTGCCACCTCTCCGGGGCGGCTTCTGGCCCATTTAGGGTCCCCAAACAGGAAGAAACTCAGCTGAAGAACTCAGCATCCCGAATCTCTCAGCTGATAGCACTGCTTGCCGGAACAGTAAGCCCCCCTGAAAGTAAGCCCCAGCTTGATGTGTGGGTGTGGGTCTAATATAAGCCCCCCCCAAAAGTAAGCTCTAGTTTGGGGTTGGGTAAAGCTGCCCCATGCGCCCCGTACCGCTTACCTTACTGGTAGGACTGCCACAGCCAGGCCTCCATTCCCCGACACTTGTCAAGCCATGTGGCTCGTCACGCCAGTGCCACCGCTCACGGCAGGAGGTTGCACAGCGCTTATGCCATTGCTGCTGCTCATGACAGAACGCTGCATTCCGTCGCTTGTGGCAGGATGCCGCATGGTGCTTTGGCCCGTTTCCGCCACTTACAGCAAGAAGCCAAGCAGCTCTTCAGGCCATTTCTGCTGCTCGGAAACAACAATGACCTGAAGACCCGCTCAGCTTCTTGCAGTGAGTGGCGGAAATGGCCCAAAGTGCCATGCGGTATCCTGCCGTGAACAATAGCAATGTCCCAAAGCGCTGTGCAACCTCCTGCCATGAGCAGCGGCACTGGTGTGACGTGGGAGGCCTGGCTGTGGTGGTTCTACTGGTAAAGGGCCGCTTCATCCCCCCTTAAAGCAGCAACAGCACATTGTGCCACATGGTCAAGCAGCAGCGCGACAAGTGTCGGGGTGTGGGAGGCCTGGCTGTGGTGGTCCTAAGGTAAGACACCCCCCAGAAGTAAGACCCAGTCCCTCTTTTGGAGGCAAAAAATATATATAAGACCGGGTCTTATTTTTGGGGAAACATAGTAGCTTCATTGAGCTTCAGGAAATAAGTAAAAGCATTTACTGACAGGTAAAATGTTTGTGCTTACTCAGGTCTGATTTTGGTTTTGCTATATGCTCAATGTCTGTTTGCCTTCTACAGCAGATATTTTTTCTCATTCTCATTTTTTTCTAAACTAACAATGTAGATGGGAATTTTAGATCCAGAATGGCTGAGAAGAAACCATCCCGCGGGCAACCATGGCTGCTATTATTGATCGTTGCTGTTGCCTTCATTCACTTAGTTGTGTGCCCATTTACAAAAGTAGAGGAGAGCTTTAATCTACAAGCCATACATGACATTTTGTATGAAAAGCTGGAATTAGATAAGGTAAATCTTGTTATTTTCTGATTGTTCTGTTTTTAGTTTGCTACTGAGTTATTTTCAAAGCCAGTAGCATCTTAATGATTGTAATTATACTAATACTCTATTATGCTCTATTATTATTACTTGTCACATGTTTTTGCATGAATATAGAAGAATTAGAAACAATAGCTAATTATTTAGCTGGATTATCTGATTGAGAAATTATCCAGGATTAAGTGTTTAATTCTAGTATTTTGTTCATCGAGTATATTTTTTTTAAAAAAAGACTAGGCCATCTATAGGCCATGTGTAGACTCCAATTACCCATATATGTAATTCTCAGAATTTCCCATGCTTTTTGATTTTCGGAGGCACCATTGCTGTTATCTTGCTCACTTTATCTGCCAATAACATATTTTGCTGCAATGCTTCCAATTAAGTAAAAATTAATAGCACAATCTACAGATCAACTGATTCTTGGACTCAAATACTGAAGATCTGATCTCCACCTTAGGGGAAAAAAATCTCTATGTAACCCTTTAGAACTATTGATATTGGAATCATGTGAAGAACTTTACTCTATGAATTGGTGTTCCAAATAAATATTACTTAAATTTCTATGATTGTTTCCATAATTGGAAGAACTAACAAAGCAGTGAGACATTAAACTAAGAAGGATTAGTGAAGTAGTTAAGGAATCATGCTAGAATCTGCGAGACTGTGAGTTCTAATTCAACTTTAGGTACAAATCTAATTGGATGACCATGGGCCAGTTGCTTGCTCTCAGCCCTAGGAAGGAGGCAATGGCAAACCACCTCTGAAAAATCTTTACAAAAAAACTGTAGAACCTCTTTATTTATTCCCAGATAAAATCCCAGTAACTATTCCTCTAAAGACATTCCTGGTCTTATGAATTTTGGAGCAAACACATTGATGACTAATTTGAATCATCTTTGCTTTAACTAAAGAACAAATATAATAACATGAAAGAATTTCTTTTTGTATATACTTTATATACCTGTGTTGTGGATTTTTTTTTATTGCAGTATGATCATCATGAATTTCCTGGAGTTGTCCCAAGAACATTCCTTGGTCCAATTTTTATTGCTCTTCTTTCCAGTCCAGCTATCTATATATTGTCCCTTTTACAAATGTCAAAATTCTACTCCCAACTGATAGGTATGAGATGGAACCATTTTTCTTTATGGGTGTTTTTATTGTATTGTAAATCATTGTAATTTCTAATACTGTTATATAGTCAAAGTTAGTTAGACGTGAACATTACCTGGTATTATTTCTATTACGGATAATAAAGCTGATTTTTCATTGTTATTCATGTTATTTTGCCATCAGTCCGAGGAACCCTAGGCTTGACTGTGATTTATGCCTTATGGCGGCTACACAAAGAAGTGAGAAAGCAGTTTGGTTTTACTGTATCCCAGATTTTCTGCCTAATATCAGTTACTCAATTCCACCTGATGTTTTACTGCACTCGTACCCTCCCCAATATATTTGCACTGCCTATTGGTAAGTACTGAGCATGCTTTTGAAAACCTTCCTTGATCAGTAAATAATGGTAAAGCAGTGTTCACAATGACATAGTAAAAGGGGTTGTGATTGGCTTGAGATGTTCTCTTGCCCACAGCTGAGAAGGTCAGCAGATATAAATGCACTCTGTGTCTGATGTGTATAAATGAAGAACGGGAGTGCCTAAACCCACCAAGCTGTGGGATGGGAGACCACCCAGACATTTTTTGAAGCCTCTTCCCACCAAAATTTTTGAAAATCAGAAACGTAAAATACCAGGGGGGGGGGAAACTAAAATAGGCTTAATATTATTTAGAAACAGCTCCACTCCTAAACACAAAGGTAAAATAAATCAGAAAATTCTAACCCAACTGAGTTGAGATCGTTACTCCAACCTGTAGAACTCTCTCTTTAAAATATTATGTGCACCCCCCCACCTCCAATTATTCTCTTCCAATGGTGCAATTTATGATCCAACCATATGCTTTAATGGGAATGAATTTAAAGTTTACTGAAAGTTTGATTTTGATTATGTAGTAGATTTGTTAATTGCTTTGATATATTTAGATCCTGATCGCGATTAACATGCTAAGTTATTAATACCTGATTTTTCTGTTCATTTGTTAATCAGTTTTACTAGCAGTTACATCTTGGATACAACAAAAGCACCGCCCGTTTATTTGGTTCTCGGCTTTGGCAATCATTGTCTTCAGAGCAGAGCTTTGCATATTCCTGGGCCTTATGCTGCTGATAACTCTATTTAATAAAAAACTCTCCATTACGAAAATGTTTTTCTATGCTGTTCCTGCAGGGGCTTTTTGGTTAGGTAAGTGGTTTTGAATTAGTGGGATTTTCTTCAGAAATGGCTATTCTAAACCTACACTGCAAAATTTTAAATTACATTACTTCTTAATCTCATTTTAAAAGATGGAGAGGAATCAATTTAAAATTGACATGTACTAAAATACGTGAACTGTGAGCGATATACAAGATATGACCATAAGGGAACCTGTCCATCACAGTTGTCACTCATGATAGTCATAATCATGACTGACCTGATTTTATGACCTTTTTTGCATGTGAATCATCACTACATGAACATCACAGTCATTAAGCGAACCTGTGGTTTTGTTATGCTGTGGTTTTGGCAAAACTGTTGTAAAACTTGGTCATATGACCACAGGATGCTACTTATGGCCATAAATACAATGCAATTGCTGAATACCCAACATGCAGTCATGTGACAGCGGGGGAACCTACGGTCAAAGCTTTGAATTCGGTTGTAAGAACCCCCCCAGATAGGAACATCAGAACTTTAAGTGTTCGCTAAGTGATTTATAATTTAAGGTGATTTGGTCCTGTGTTACATATTTTATATCAGAGATGGACTTTCAGGTATTGTTGGATTGGAGATCCCATTATTCTTCATTACTGACCAAGCCGGTTATGGCTTATGGGATATAGATTTATCATCATAGAAAGTATCATGTTACTTATCTATCTCAGATAGAGCAGGACCAAGAATGGGAAACTGCCACCTAGATAAGTCCCTGCAATTTTCTTGGAACAGTTTCAAAAGTGGTTTGCCATTGCCTTCTTTCTAGAGCTAAGAAAGAGTGACTGGCCCAAGGTCATCCAGTTGATTGCTTGCTGAGCATGGAGCTGCAACTTCTGGTCTACCAGTTTCTAGACTGCTGCCTTTAGCCATTTTACTACATATACACTGTGTGTGTGTATCTGTATGTGTATGTATGTGTATATGTGTGTGTGTGTGTGTGTGTGTGTACACACACATGCATATTTACCATTTTTTTAAAAAAAAAGTTTTTCCAATTCAGTGGATTTTTCTATTTATTTGTATAACTTGTCTTTCAGCAGCTCATTTATAGTAACCTGAGATCTTGCTAACAAGATTTGATAGCAAAATAGTTGATATTTGGGGATAGCAATGGGAGTTATCTATACAGGAAATTTATCCCATTTCTTAATTCTTTCCCCAAAGCATCCCCAAACAGCACCATCAGTATTCGGCTAACATGCACATGGGTTTGAAAGGCATACCTTTTGGCCATTTGCTGAGTTTTTAAGAGTGGAATTAGGCATGGTTTTCCTCCTGAAGTTTTCTTGCTTCAGTTCCATCCAGAAACACTAAAAAAATGAACTCCCCCACGTCCCCCCAAAAATCAGACCTATCCCATTTTCTCTTTTTTGTCAATATCTTTTGCAAGGCTCCAGCAGCTCATGAGAGACAGTTATGATCCTGATCTTGGGAAAGTTGCCCATCCCAGATGTGCAGGAAGGAAGCTTATGCAGATAAGGAAGGCTCTGCTTATCTCAATCTGACCATTATATGAGAAAAAGGTGATATGGATGGGAACATTGGAATATTGAATAATCCATTTTAGTGTGCATGCCTAACTCCTGACTGATAAACTGTTTTCATGATGAATTGATATTTTTATGTGCACACTCAAGATTCTTCCAAATCCTAGAGTGGGTAGAACTGTCTTGGCATCATTTAGTCATGTAAAACTATAATTTCCATAACTTCAAGGGCATACCTATTGCCTATGCCGGTGGTAGAATAAGATGAGCATGTAGACTGCATCAGAAATACATCTCCTGAAGCCCAGGACCACATGCTGTCCTTGAGGGGCTTGAATGTGACCCCTAAAGATCTCCAAAAAATGTTCCTAAATTGTTACTTTTGATATGTTTGAGTTGGAAAATTATTGATTGTATGATTGGAAAATAATAATCTTAACTGTAATTAATCATAACTATATTAAATTTTAAATAAATGATACCTATTTTCTTGGTCTTATCAACTACTTTTGGACTGTGGGTCATGTTACATTACTCAAAAGCTGAGTGTAAGTAAAAATTCTGCACTGCGGTTTAGTGTGCAATTATTGCCCTTTGTGGGACCCTGCCCTTTGTTCATCAGTTGTGCAACTAGATCATCTTAGCCTGTGGACTTACTTAGCTTATAAGAAGATGATGGAAATATATCTTGCTTAATGCAAAAGAGAATTAGCCAGTCCTATTGCACATAGAGGCTCTCTTGAAAATTCCAAGTGTGGCTCTGGATGTCTCCCAAAATCCTATCTGAATGGCGGACCTTGCCTCCATGTTTTTAATCCTGTGAAATCAAACCAATGTATTTCTTAACTTCAGGCAGAAGGGGTAGTAATTAGAGCCCTTTTCAAGTCACAGCCTTGTGATTCTGCAGCCTATGCACTCCAATCAATATTTCAGATAATAGGCTGATTTCCATCCAGTTCTGGAATGGCCGTCATATTTATTGATTCCAAGGCATGTTGAACCAACATTGTTGCTATTTTAAATGATTTCTGCATAGCTCCTCACTTTTGGCTGTTTTCTCCTTTTAGGACTCACAGTGGGTGTGGATTCTGTGTTTTGGAAGCAGCTCTTGTGGCCTGAGGGAAAGGTACTTTGGTATAACATTGTCTTAAATAAAAGCTCCAACTGGGGAGTATCCTTTTAAACACGGAGGAAGCAAAATTCTGTAGCACAATGTAAATGAATTCAATATTCACAATATGAGAGGAATAACTTCAAATAACTAGATGAGGTAAAAAGTTTTCTCGTAAAACTCTTTATTTTGCATCCTTTCCAAGCCACATCACTTTCTAGTCATAGCAAGAATTGTAATTTGTATGGAATCAAATACAAAATATCTTTAGCCATTTCTATTTCTTACACTTGATTCCACATTTCTTATCTTATTCTACTGATTTGTGGATACCTTTGGTGGTAGAAAATTAAATTATCATGCAAGGTTTCAGCTTCTATAGAACGCTCCTTTTATATTAAAAGATGGATATATACTTTCTCCCTCCAGAGTGTGAGTATTGGAATGGAGAGAATAGTGATGGGCTCCATGGTTCAGCCCAGTTAATATTGATTTTGTTTTTCAGCCCAGATTCGTCACTTTCAAAATGACATAGAAGTGATCGCTTATAAACAGGACATGAGCATTATTGGTGCTACAAACTTCGGTTTGCTCAGAATAGGGAGACTCTTATACAGCTTTAAAAAAAGACTTTCTCTCTTATTGAGTTAAAAGCTGGAGCCTTTAAATCAGGGCTCTTCAAACTTAGCCCTTTTATGACTTGTGGACTTCAACTCTCAGAATTCCTCAGCCAGCGTGCTTGTTATTGTTTTAATTCTCCAAAGTAGGAAGATCTAGAACAGTGGTTCTCAACCTTTTTAATGCCGCAACCCCCAACCGGTCATAAGTCAAGGATTACTCAACCGGTCGTAAGTCAAGGACTAAACCAGTCATAAGTCGAGAACTTTCCCTGCCCGGGAGCGCTGCGCATGCGTGGTGCCGCCCCCTGCGTGGCCGAGGCGTAGCTGGCAAGCGGCAGAGACGGAGCAGGCCGACTACCAGCTGGACCACCAGCTAGCCCAGTCCAAGGGAGATAAGGCACCCGCTGGGCTCCACACGCGCCAGCAACCCTCCCTGCGCCCACCAGCCTCCCACCTCCCACCCCTGGCCCTCTTTTACTTACATTTTTAGTAGTTGCTCAGCAGGGAGGGGTGGAAACTTCCAGACAGCTCGCCTTCGCTGCAGACAACTTGCAGCACCATTTGCAGAATGGGACTTTTGGTGGGTTCAGCAGGGCAGAGACAGCCTGGACAATTCCTATTGGCTTTTGAAAGCCAATAGAATTAGACTCTATTCAGGAGAGTCTATTCTATTGGCTTTCAAAAGCCAATAGAATAAAAGGGAGTAGCACAGTTAAGGAAAAGGGGGGGGGGGAAATGGCAGACTGCGTTGTTTGGCGACCCCCGTGAAATGGTCGTTCGACCCCAAATGGGGTCGTGACCCACAGGTTGAGAACCGCTGATCTAGAAAGTACATTGGCGAATGCAACCAGGAGGCACAGATCCATCTTTGCTGTCATTTGCAATAAGATGAAGTAATAGACAGGGTGGTAGTGAGGATGAATTAAGTAAACATATGGTGGTGCTTAAATGTTTGTGCCTTGTTTAATTGCATTCTCTCTCTCCACTTTTAGGAATTGTGTAGAAGTTAGATCATGTTTTAGATTGTATTCATGGAAAAATACTGAACATTCAAAAGCTTAAACATCACTGTGTGCTGGTTTTTGCTTAGTATGTATGTCTTTTCTTTTACCTTTTCCTAATTGAAAATTAGAGTTCACAGGTTCCAATAAAATCCCTGTTATTTTTGCATGTCTTCTGCTTTTTTTGGGGGGGGGGAGGCTGGTTGTCAAATGTAAGTGCATTATTCAGTTCATGAACCTTGTGTTATGCCTTTTTTTTGACAAATTTCCAAATGGAAATGGGTACATAAGGCAGAACAGTACATAGCCGATAGCATAATTACACTGATAACTTTTTGGGTTGCCAAGTCCAACAGTAATAGCAATAACAGTTAGACTTATATACCGCTTCACAGTGCCTCTCTAAGCAGTTTACAGACTCAGCATATTGCTTCCAACAGTCTGGCTCCTCATTTTACCAACCTTGGAAGGATGGAACGCTGAGTCAACCTTGAGCCAGTGAAACTTGAACTGCCGAACTGCCAGCAGTCAGCAGAATTAGCCTGCAGTACTACATTCTGACCACTGCGCCACCATGGCTCTTAGCTATGATCATTATGAAAAAGGCTTCAGTTTAACAGCAAAAGAGATGTTTTTATATTTATAGATTGGTTAAAGTGAGAGCAATGCCATTGTTTGTTTGTTTTTTGCTGGTCTCAGTTCTATGTTTGTTGATAGGGGCAAGACTTCACTAAGCACGCTTAATTACAGTATTATTTCATTGTTTTCAGTGGCAATTTTAAAATTTACTGGACAACCTGCACACTCTTGGGTCATCAGTTCAGAGATACTTCTTTACCATTCTTTCCTGCCTCCTTCGTTTCCTCCCTCCCTCTCTCTGTCATTTTTTCCCTCCCTCCCTCTCCTGCCAGCTTCCTCATTTACTTCATAAGGAAAAAGTCAGTGAGGAAGCCAGCAGGAAGTTGCAAGACCTGCAGACTGGTACGTGGTGGTTGCTGGGTGGGGAAGGGAACTATGGGGTGTATGGGGGATAAATGGAGTTGCACAAGAGGTATTGCATGGATTGGGAAGGGTGTATAGGTATGCACCAGAGATACCATATTGGTTGGGGAGGTCACGTGGGTGAGCGGCATAGTTTGGGACAGTGCTTTTTTTGTTAAAAAAAAAAAAGGTGCCGGAACTCACACACAGCTCCGACTCCACTTGAAAGCCCTTTACGGAACGGGGGGGGGGGAGAAACTGCTTTAGGGAGCTTCCAAGATGCAGATCACTCACCTGGAAAAGGTCTGTCTCCTCCTTCCTTTCTCCCTTCCTTTCTCCCTTCCTTTCCCTTGCCAGCAAGTATCTGCTGCTGCCTTGGAGAAGGTATGAGGTGTTGTGAGACTGGCTGGGAAACTGTCACAGAATGTTGAAAATGAAGATCATGTGATCGCAGCAACAGCCCAGCAGTGTAACAGCAGCTAGTAGCACTGCATAGCCACAACTTCCCCAAATTTCATTCCTTTGGAAGTCATGGGTCTCAGATTTTGGCTGCATTCTTAAAGTTAGCCCATTTGAAGTACCTTGGTTCAAAATTTGTAGATGCATTGTATCTCAAACAATGAAATTCTGCTAAGCCCTGTGATTTTATTCTCACGGTGTATTGTGTGGTTATGTTGGTTACATAAAATCACAAGTTTTTCAGTGACAAATTCGGGGTATCTGGGATGAGAATTGGGAATGGGGAATGTTTGTGTGTGGGTGCATTGGCATATATGCTTTCTACTTTTTTTCATACAAGAATTAAATGAAAGAAGTGATTTTGTATCTCACTGAATATATTTTATAATTTTATGTATGATAAAGTACCTTATTCATGCAGCAAAGAAGCATAAACATAAGAAAATGTTGAAAAACAGGTATTTTTTTCTTGAAAGTTTCTAGTAGCTATGTGACATTTTCCTAAACAATTTTAGAAATGTAGAAGACACCACATTGAGAAAATTATTAATTCAAATAGTCTTTTTTTAACAACAACAAAAAAAATCCTTAACTGTCTTTTTAAAGACCTCCCCTTTCTTGTGGTATTTTTACTCTGCCTTGCCTCGGGCTCTGGGTTGCAGTATTGTATTTCTACCACTAGGAGCAGTAGATCGAAGATGTTGGATGTTAATTCTACCTTCACTTGGTTTTATTTCCTTGTATTCCTTTCTCCCACACAAAGAGCTGCGGTTTATAATATACACAATTCCAGTTTTGAATATAGTGGCTGCCAAAGGCTGCTCACGAATGTAAGTGTACTTGTACGTACTATATTTAATTTCTGTTTCAAGATCTGGACTTCATTATTCATCACTTGCTAGTTTGTCTATCACATTGTTCTCCAAATAACCTTGATAGGAATTCTGGGAATCATTTTGTCGGCCCCAGATTGGGAAGGGCTGACTTGGAATAAAAGATTCTTATTTTGTCATTCCCTCAGGGCATCAGTCACTTGGCCTTAAGACTTGATGAGAGTGAATTAGTGAATAAGATGTAAAATGCATTAACAGTGAAATTTCCCATGACCTTTTGGATTAGAAAATATGCAAGCTGTTTAGTACTATGAATTTTAAACTACAGCAAACTAATCTCTGTCTTTACAAAGGATGAAAAAAAATCCCCATAAAAACAAATTCATTTTGTTAGTGCATATTATATGTAGTAAATTCTGTCCCCCTGTTGCTCTTTAAAGTCCAGTAAAACAGCAGTCCCCAGCCTTTATGGCTCCATGGATCGGTGACAGAGAGGGGGAAGGGATGGTTTGGGTGTGCAATCTAATCCCGCTCATGTGCAAATGAAGCTTTGCACCCTTGCCCACTGCTTGCATGGCCCAGCTCTCAATGGGGTGCATAGCCCAGGGTTTAAGGACCCCTGCACTAAAAGTTTGAACTTCCATGATTATAAAGTTTTACTTTCATGTCTATCTAATCAGGGTTTAGTATCAACCGAATGACTATGGAGATTCTCAGTCATCCAGGTCATAGTTATCCCAAAGGTGCTTTTTCAGGAGGCAGTTGCTTTTCTTTGAAGATGTTTTGCTTCTCGTTCAAGAAGCTTCTTCAGCTGAGGAAGCTTCTTGGATGAAAAATGAAACGTCTTCAAAGAAAAAAACAAGAAAGTCCACTTGCCTCCTGAAAAAGCATCTTTGGGATATCAACCTAAATAAATTGACTAGACCAATGTATAATATTCTAAATCAGGTTGACTTTGACCTGTATATTAGAGCTAGGGTTAATTGCAGTTGAGAGTTTGAGTATCATGCTGAATCATACTTAACTGAAGATGAAAATGCAAATTTCAAAGGAAAACTGTGCATGTAGGATGTAATCCCAGGGCTCCTGCCTCCAAAAGTAAACAAGTTTAATACAATATAAAATGACATCTACAATTCATGTAATCTAACATTCAATGTGATGTTTTAACAGCTGCGTATTGGTGTTGGATATATTGTGCCCACTAAATAACTATTTTTCTGTTCTTCACAGTCTAAACAATTACAAGAAATCATGGTTATACAAATTAGGCACTCTGTTTGTTATAGCACACATTTTCGCTAATGCTGCTTACTCAGGAACATCACTCTATGTGTCCCACTTCAATTACCCTGGAGGAGTTGCTATGCAAAAACTACACCAGCTGGTACCTCCAACAGCAGGTGAGTAAAACTGGGTTGATGAAAAGCCATCTTGTGTCTTGTACTTTTTTTAGACCCTTCTGCAGATTGGATGGGACTAAACACATGGGCCATTTTTTGTTTTGGCACTCTGTGAGGTTTCAAGAGATAAAGTAACAGTCTTAAAGCTTGCTCTTTTAAGCCTTATTCTGCCTTTTCCCATTTTGAGGATGTGATCTGTGATAGGGTGAAAAGGTGTGAGGAGGACAGCACAGCCCAGAAAGCAAAATAACTTGGAAAGCCCTATTAATTACACATTTGTGTACATTTTGAACCCCCTGTGGAATTGAGGAGCGATGCTGTAAAGGCAATTAGGAATAGAATGTTAATAGCAGAGAATGGTGTTTCTCGACCTTGGCAACTTAAAGGTGTGTGGATTCAAGTGCCAGAGTTCCCCCAGCCAGCATAGTCCCTAAAGCTGTAGTGCTTTACCTATGTTGAGTGGCGTAAAGAGAGCATGATGTTGGTACACATTATCAAATTAGCTTCGTTAATGATGGTTACAGTAGTGAGAACAGAGATTGTTAACTGTGATGTCAAGAAGAGTGTGTGCACTCTTGCACTATAATGTGAATTATATGGCAAGGCTATCTGAATATAAGATTTTCTTACATTCAGATAGGCATTGCCATATAATTCATATTATACTGGGGGCTCACAAACAGGCAATAGAGAGCTAGCCATATCCTTCTATTGTTCCCCTGCAAATGGTATTTGGAGACATCATGCCTCCTTTCCCCCACAACCAAGAGATGACACTAAGTATTATCCCTTAGTAGACTTGCCCTGCTTGGATATATCCAATCTGCTTTTAATCCAAGTGATTTATTTCAATCTGTGCAAGAATTGCTTTCCTTTTCCTGTTCTAAGTCTTCCAGCCACTTTCATTTGATGACCACAGTCCTAACTATTTGATCCTAGTATTTTGACAGTTGGCAATCAGGTGATGGGAAAGGTTTGTCATTCTTAGCAGAGCCTTTACAAAGTTATATAGGAAGGGATTGCAAGGGTCACGCAAGCATGTGGTGAGCTCAGCGAAGAGTCTTCTCAGACAATTGAGGGGTATTTTGAATGTTCAATATGGCTGTTTCAGGGCCTCTTTCCAGTGAAAGCATGAGCAGGAGATAACTTCCACTGAAAGTGCTGTTTTCATTTTGTTGGGGCCCAAAGGCACTCCATGAGTAAACAAGTCACTAGACGGTGCTTTGCTTTTTTTCCCTCATGTCAGCTGTTCCTTTAATTCATTAAAAAATGGATTAAATTCTAGGTTGAGCACCCTATTAATTTTAAGTATATTAATTCGACACCAAGCATCTCCAGTACAGTAGCCAGCCAATACTTTCTACTTCACTCATGTTTGGAATTTACCATGTTTCCCCGAAAATAAGACCTATCCTGAAAAATGAGACCTAGCTTGTTTTTACATGTGCGCCTAATATAAGCCCTACCCCCCCCAAAATAAGCCCTAGTTAAGACCCTGCCCACTCCGTCCCGCCATCTGGTTGTATGAGGTAGAATAGAATAGGAATGGGAATGGAATGGAATGGACCATGGACGTCTTCTAGTTCAGCCCCCCGCTCAAGCAGGAGAACCTATACCATCTCAGACAAGTGTCTGTCCAGTCTCTTCTTAAAAACCTCCAGTGATGGAGCACCCACAATTTCTGAAGACAAACTGTTCCACTGGTTAATTGTTCTCACTGTTAGGAAGTTTCTCCTTAATTCCAGATTGCTTCTCTCTTTGATCAGTTTCCAATCATTGTTTCTTGTCCTACCCTCTCTGGTGCTTTGGAGAATAATTTGACCCCCTCTTCTTTGTGGTAGCCTCTCAAATACTGGAATACTGCTATCATATCACCCCTATTTCTTCTTCTTCTTTTTTTTAAGGCTAGCCAAATCCAAGTCCTGCAGCCATTCTTCATATGTTTTAGTCTCCAGGCCTCGGACCATCTTAGTTGGTCTTCTCTGAACTTTTTCCAAGGTCTCAACATCTTTTTGGTAGTATGGTGACCAAAATTGGTTACAGTATTCCAGGTGTGGTCTCACTAGGTTTTTATAAAGTGGTACTAATATTTCATATGATCTTGATTCTACCAGGATTGTATAAGCTTTTTTGGCTGCTACTGCACATTGCTGGCTCATAGTCAAGTGATCATCCACTAGGACTCCAAGATCCCTCTCACAGTTACTGTTTTTAAGGTCTCACCTAATCTGTACTTATATCCTTGATTTTTCCTGCCTAAATGTACAGCTTTGCTTTTCTCCACATTAAAACTCATTTTGTTGGATAGGGCCCATTGTTCCAGTTTGTCAAGGTCTTTTTGAATCCTGAGCTTGTCTTCTGGAGTGTTGGCTATTCCTGCCAGTTTAGTGTCATTTGCAAATTTGATGAGTTCCCTTTCTAATCCCTCATCTAAGTCATTGATGAAGATATTGAAGAGTACTGGGCCTAAGATGGAGATGGGGCGAGGCACAAATGTAAAATACAAGCTAGAGTGGGGGGTGGAGCTGTCCCCGTACCCTGTACCTGCTTACTTCAGGGCCCCACAGTCAAGCCTCCCATGTCCCACACTTACCTTGCCTCATGTTGCAGCAGCGGCACCAGCAGTAATAGCCCCATCTAGCAGGAGTCTGCGTGGCTGCTGGCCTACCTCTGTTTACTGGTGGGTGCTCGCAGTAGGAGCCACATGGTGTGTCATGCTGGTGCCGCCACTCATGGCAGGAGGGCATGTGACGCATCACATCAGTGCCGCCGCTCACATGTGCCACAACACAATGCACCATGTGGCGTCCTGCTATGAGTTGTAGTACTGGTGCGATGCACTACATGGCATCCTGCAAGCGGTGGCACCGGGCACAGTGTGCCCTGTGGCGTCCTACCGTGAACGGTGGCACCAAGCGTGATGCGCCATGTGGCGTCCTACCATGAGCAACATGCAAAATGGTGTCCTGCTGTAAGCAGCCGCAGAACAAATCAGGCAGTGGCGCAACAGGTGTTGGGGTGTTGAAGGCCTGGTTGTGGCAGTGCTGAGGTAAGTGCGTAAGACATCCCCTGAAAATAAGACCCAGTCTTATTTTTGCAGTAGGATTTTTTCAAATAATAAAATAAATACAAAATTCGATGACTTCCGGTTTCACATTGTAGTGAGACAGATACAGGGAAGCAGGGCTTTGCCTTCCACGTTCGATTTTGTCCTGCTGGGCCCCCGAAAAGGGCCTAAAGTCACCCCAGAGAGGCGACAAAAAAGGAGGGGACCTTCATAGATCACGGAGAGACGGCAGTCAATCCGTTCAATCTGAGGAAGCCCTCTGAAAAGGCAGGTGAAAGACTGACAGCTACTGACAGCCAGGGAAAAAAGCACCAACTAGCAAAATTTAAGCAATGCATTTGGAACTGGGTAAGAGTATTTTTTTTCCTGCTCTACTATTTTAAAAAATTTCCCTGGAAAAAAGAATCCCAAAAGGCAAAGCTCGTAGAAGCAAGATGGTGGGGTAGGGGTTTTCTTGGTGCCCTTCCCCCTAGAAAAACGGCGGCAGTTTAACATATTTGGGGAGAAAAGTAGTCAGATTATAAAACCAAATTGGAAATAATTTAAAGTTGTAACATTGAAAAAATTGGGAGACTTAAAATATCTTGGAAACTTTATTTGCTTTGAAAAATATCAGACTGAACTCTTGAGAAATAAGTCCTGGTTGAAAGATAGACTTTTAGTGACATCTAGTGGTGGAAAAGAGGAACAGCGCTAAGACTTTTGTTTTGTTTTGTTTTGTACTCTGGAAAGAATGACCTTTGCTTGAAACTCAGACAGAGATAGCAAGTTAGGCTCTTTGATGTCCCTGAACTTCTCAGCCTTGCAGATTGCAGCTGGAAAAGAAGAGGAACTCTTTGGACTGTTTTTCTGCAGGATGGATTATAAATATAAACTACTCTGAAGCTAGCTGGCTTTCCTGAATTATAAACATCACTTGAGCTGCAGTATCAAGAACTATTCAGAGACAGAAAAAAATTGACAATTGGTTATTCTCTTTGGGAGAGGCCTTATGGATTATTAACTCGGAATAGTAAGGCCTTGAGGATTATAAATCTTGGCTGACTGATGATTTTGGTTTATTGGATAACTGCTTGGAGTTGGTGCTGAAAGACAAAAGTGGATTATAAATTTTTTCTCCCCCCCCTTTTTCTTCTTTTTTTATGGGGAACCTATTGGATTATAGATCTTTATTTTCAAGAACTATCTAGAGACAGAGGAAAGCTGACTCTTGGTGATTCCCTTTGGGAGAGGTCTTGTGGACTATTAACTTTATGTAACAGGACTTTTTGGATTACAAATTGGAGTTGATTGATAATGCTGGACTTTTGAATAATTATTTGGAGTTGAGATTGAAAGACAGAAATGGACTACAAACTCTCTTTTCTCCTTTCTCCCCGTTTGGGGGAGTCTAATAGATTAGATTACAAGAGACCACAGATAAAGACTACAAGAATTTTTTGAAATGAACTTAAAGGATATATTGTAATACTGACTATAAGATTGAAGGTTTTGTATAAGATTGATAACTGGGGAATATATTAGAACTGAGAAGGTCTGGAGGATGGGAATAAAAATGAGTGTTCCTAATCTAGCTAAAATTAGAAAAAAAAAACATCCTCAGTGCCATCTTCTACTACCTCCAGTCCTATGTATCAGAGATCAGTTGACACAATGTTATAGCAAGAAAAAAATCAACAGCTTCCAGAAGGAAATGCAAACCACACTACAACTAATCCAGGAGCTATTGCCTCACCCAAAGAAGACACCAAGAGAAATCATGAAGAGACGAAAGATAACTTTGATAAAATGAAGGAAGAAATTCATGACTTGAAATCCCAATTAGAAAACTTGGATGGCACGCTTTTCTATGGTATGGGAAGAACAAAATCCATAAATACTTTCAAAATCACTATACAAGAAATGTCTTGCTTTTGACATGGGAAAAGATAAAAATGAAAATTTATATGAAAATACCAGGATGGATCTCGAGAATGGAATCATTTGTACACCCAAATCTAATCAACTATGAGAAACCTGTGACATACAGAGACATTTTGAATACTGATGGAAAATTACAAACTAAACAAGAATTGGAAGAACAGGGTATTGAGCTATCATGGTGGCCACACTTTCAAATGAGATACAAAAAAGATGCTAAAACATATGTTTTTTATAAAAACCAAACAGTGTTTGACCAGATACTATTGTCATCAGATGAAAAACTGATTAAGAAACTATATAAATTTTTGTTAAACCTGAAGATGGAAGATGAAGAAGTTAAACAATGATAACTTGGGGAAAAAAATTGGGCACAATGTAGAATTAGAAAAATAGTAAAACTTGTGGGAAAGAAACTATAAAATAACAAGGGCAGCTACTTATAAAGAAAATCTATATTAAATGTTTTATAGGTGGCATTTACTACCTGCAAGATTAGCAAAAATGTTTAAAAACAAGTCTAGTAATTGTTGGAAATGTAGGCAAAAGCCAGGCACATACTATCACCTCTGGTGGACATGCCCTAAAGCAAAAAAATGTTGGTCAAAAATACATATGTGGTTAGAGAAAATGTTAAGAAAACATGTAAATTTTAAGCCAGAATTATTTTTTTAGGAATAATCACAGAGAACTATGAGAAAAATGTATAAATTTAATATTACATGTATTAATAGCAGTGAGAATTATATTTGCACAGTATTGGAAAAATGAAGAAACACCATTGGAAGAAGACATAATTAGTAAAATCTTGGATTGTGTGGAAATGGATAGGCTTACATTGAAAATGAAAGGGAAAGAAGATACAGAATATTTTCAAACATGGGATAATTTTTACAAATAGCTAGAAAAATGGAGTAGAGAGTAGAAATGGAAGTTTCATTACTATGCAACCCAGACATATTTGTTTATTAAGCATTAAAGATTTGTAATGATAAAAACTTAATAAAATATCTATATAAAAAAATAAATACAAATCCACAAGTTTGCCCATTAGTATAGACTGGAATTGTTCGTTGCTTTCACATATTTTTGTTTTTGTTTTTTTGAAGATGTTTCTGTCCACATTGATGGGGCTGCGGCACAGACTGGTGTGTCTCGATTTTTAGAAGTCAACTTGGATTGGAAGTAAGTCTCTGTGTTTGTGTCTGTAAGAAAGATAATTTTTAGCAATTTGTTATATATCAGACAGAAAGTGAAGAGGAACTAAAGAGCCTCTTGATGCGGGTGAAGAAGGAGAGTGCAAAAGTTGGCTTGAAACTCAACATTAAGAAAACCAAAATCATGGCATCCGGCCCTCTCAATTCCTGGCAAATAGATGGGGAAGAAATGGAGGTAGTGACAGATTTTATTTTTCTGGGCTCCAAGATCACCTCAGATGGGGACTGCAGCCAAGAAATTAAAAGACGCTTGCTCCTGGGGAGGAAAGCTATGGCAAATCTAGACAGCATACTAAAAAGCAGAGACATCACCCTGCCAACAAAAGTGCGTATAGTCCAGGCCATGGTTTTCCCAGTTGCAATGTATGGCTGTGAAAGTTGGACCATAAGAAAGGCTGAGCGCCAAAGAATTGAGGCCTTTGAACTATGATGCTGGAGAAGACTCCTGCGAGTTCCTTGGACTGCAAGGCATTCAAACCGGTCAGTCCTAGAAGAGATCAACCCTGACTGCTCTTTAGAAGGCCAGATCCTGAAGTTGAAAGTCAAATACTTTAGCCACCTAATGAGAAGGAAGGACTCACTGGAGAAGGGCCTAATGCTGGGAAAGATTGAGGGCAATAGAAGAAGGGGACGACAGAGAATGAGATGGTTGGATGGAGTCACTGAAGCAGTAGGTGTGAACTTAAATGGACTCTAGAAGATGATAGAGGACAGGAAGACCTGGAGGAACGTTGTTCATGGGGTCGCGATGGGTCGGACATGACTTCGCAATTAACAACAACAACAAATATATCAGAAGTGTCCAACCTTGGTAACTTTAAGACTTGTGGACTTCAACTCCCAGAATTTCCCAGCCAGTGATGGAGTTCTGGGCACTGAAGTCCAAAAGTCTTAAAGTTGTCAAGGTTGGACACCTCTTTATATATGAATGAAATTATCATCATGATAATCTCTTGCTCTTATATTTGTTTTTGTGTGTTCAGGGCTACTATTATTCAAGCTTTTAGTTAGTTAGAATGTTGCACTGGAATTCAACAGCAAGGCTCAAGTAAAGGTCAGGTTGTATATTCCTTGTCTCCTAGGAGTCCTTCTCTTTGCAGTGAAGATGAGGTGCCAAGCATACACTAAGAATCAACATGCAAATTATCTAAAAATTGAGACCCTATTATATAGATCAAAGTAAAAGAACCAGTGACCTTCTAAACATTGCTGAACTACAACTCCCAGCAGCCCTAATAAGCATAACCTATAGTGGAAGATGGTAGGCATCAATTTTCAGCAACATCCTTGAAAGGTCAGAGATCGTCCACCTCTAATTGGGTAGGATTCCTTTTTAAATTTAATTAGCTTCTGTGAGGCAGAAATGTGTAGTGTGTGGCCTCCAAACTTAGTTTTTGTTCATCTCTATAGCCCTCTATTACTTCATTATTACTCTGACCATTTTGAGGTGGGAAACACAACCATTGTACTGCAAACCTAGTACAGGAAAAAAAAGTCCATTTTTTTCATCACTATCCAGCCCTGTCACTCCAAAACATTAAATATGGCCACCAGGCATCAAAATTCTGCCCAGCCTGGTACATGGTTTGATAGCTTCTTGTCCTAGTTAAGGACATTTGCTTTCTGTATTCCAGAGTGTTTATTAGACGAAGGGTATTTATATTTAAACAGAACCCCTTTAATTTGAGGGGTGTGTCAGAAATTACTTATGTGTGTCAGGGTTAGTTTCAAATAAGGAGCTGCTTCTTTTATACAATGTATGTACCTAAGTTCAAACTACCTCCTGGCAAACTAACAATTAAAAACAAGTTTTTTATGGTTTCTTTATATTTTGTTTATGAAATCAAAGTAATTTTGGAATTGTAGGCAGATGTTTAAAATGGTTTATTAGATTTTTGCAAACATCAAAGGAAGATATTTTCCAATTAATATAAATCTGGGATACTGCTGTGTGCATAGGTTAAAAAAACTTGAAGTTAACCCCAGAGTTGAAGTTTCATATCACTGAATATTAAACACAAAACCAAGAGCTCATAGTTCTTGCCAAATTACATTAATAGAAATCGGGATAACGATGTTGCACATTTCAAAATCAGGGTGTACTACTCATTCAAAAATCTCAGTCATCAATTAAATATATGCAAATCAAGTGAGAATGCACTTATTTGTTTTATAACTTCTCTTTCTGTTTAGGTAAGCATTTGAGATAGCTAAAAAGGTATAAAAATATTAAAATAAATACTAAACTAATTAAAAGATAAAACCCTGGATAAAAAGATATGCCTCTATTGCCTTTCTATATACTGAAATCGTGGTGATTAAATGCAACTCCAGAGGGAGCTTGAAAGCGGTTCAGGAGAAGGCCTTTTTCTACATGCAAGTTAGATCAATCTCTGTCAGAAAGGGCATTTTCAGAAAGGCTTTTCCTGTAGCTCCTAATGATTGGTCATGCTCCTCAATGTTAACCACCAACAATATTTGCCTTATAAGTAATAGGCAATGTTTTAGCATGGATACTACATGACCTCCATAATTTGCACGGGTTTGCAGCCTTCTGGCAGCATTTTCCATTAGTTACAACTTCTGTTTGATTTTTCCAGGCTAACCTATGCAAGTTCATAGAACTTAGGGTGCCCAAATTTGACCCATTTGGGACTGAACAGAGCTGAGTCATGAGCCTTACTTGTGCAAATTTTCTCAATAGGGGTATCACTTGCAATTCCAGTTGGCAGCAAGGAGCAGGTTGGCACTTTGGATTCCTTACTTGATTTATAGGGGAAGTGTAGCCTCATCCCCAAAAGGTTGAATCTCAGTCATTCAGTTTACATTTAACCAACCTCAGCTCTGCTTTGCCTGGATTTAATTTCAATTTGTATACTTCCAAGCTGTTAATGAACTTAGGTAACAGAATTGGATGATAAGAAGCAGTAGAAACAGTAACATCAACATATTGATGGAACCCTACACCAAAGTTCCAAATGACCTTTCCTAATTATTTTATGTAGATGTTGAAGAGCATGCCAGATAAGATAATATCCTATGAGACACTAGTATCTTTTTGCACATGATTTAGCAGAAAGGATCAGAACCACCACAAAAACAATGCAGCATAATGCCATTACTGAAGGAATCTGGGAGAACCAGTAGGGCAATACGTTTCAGTTTTTGTTGTGGATCAAACACTAAGGCAGTGGTTCTCAACCTGTGGGTTGGGACCCCATTTGGGGTCAAACGACCATTTCACGGGGGTCGCCAGACAATGCAGTCCGCCATTTTTTTCCCCCTTTTCCTTAGCTGAACTACTCCCTCTTATTCTATTGGCTTTTGAAAGCCAATAGAATAGACTCTCTTGAATAGAGTCTAATTCTATTGGCTTTCAAAAGCCAATAGGAATTGTCCAGGCTGTCTCTGCCCTGCTGAACCCGCCAAAAGTCCCATTCTGCAAACAGTGCTGCACCAGTTGAGTAGTCCTCGACTTACGACTGGTTGGGGGTCGCGGCATTAAAAAGGTTGAGAACCACTGCACTAAGGTGTTCGTAACAGTTTCAATTCAATTTCTTGGCTGAAAGTTTGATTGAAATGCATGTATTTTGTAGGTCAAGAATGGGTTTTATTGTTTGTTTGTTTGTTTGTTGAGAGGATTTTTTGTTTTGTTCTTTTGGTGCCTTCAAGTCAGTATTGACTCTTGGACCAATCCTTGCTGTTTCTTGGGAATATTTTTTGGGGGAAATGGTGCCATGTCCTTCTTCCTGGGGCTGAGAGAGACTGGTCCTAGGATTTGTGCCTAAGATGGAACTAGAAGTTACTGTCTGCTGGTTTCTAGCTTGGTGCTTTGACCACTATACCAATTGGCTCTCCTTTAAGCAAAAGTTTGTACTTCCAATTCACAAGATATTTTTCATCACTTTTCTTAACCTCTATTTTGTTTAATCAGCTAAAAGAGAGCAACAAACAAATAAGCAATTGTTAGTCCTTATCCATACACATTCTCCTTGGAGTCTGTAACCGAAAAGAATACAAAATAAGACAACAAATGATTTCTAAGGTTACATCCTTACAATCTGATTCAGTGACTGCTATCCAGATAACTCTTTATTCTCAATAAGTAGTGATGTAAATTGTCTAAAGTGAGCTACCAATTGTTCTGGCTATCCATCCACATTGCCTGAATATCATGGTGCAGGAAATACTTCACAAAATAAAAAAAATCAGTTGTAGCCCATTCTGTGTAGACACAATACAAGTAGAGGAGTAAGTACTTTCAGCTGCCTTAGAGGATCTCAAATAGCCTTTCATGTTGATCTGAGATGATCTATAGGAGAACCATTCTTTTATGCATGTTCATTAAGTCTTGATGATCAAAATAAATTGAGAGCTTATTGGAGCCATCTGATGTTTAATTCTCTTGCATAGCAAAACCTTAAGAAATTACAGACATTTTATTGCCTTGCTTTGAAGATGGACTGCAGTAGGCTTGACATAAAAGTTGATTCTGGCCAAGCTTGATGTTCTTAGCATTACAAGTTTTGATTTGGGATGAAAGGATTTATTCAGGTCAGGAATGTTAGAATAATATTTAAGAGAATCTGTATTCTAATAACAGCTTACTCAAAGGGAAGCACTGCCCGAAGCGTTCGCCAATTGCTTAGTTTCACCCAGCAGCTAGCCCAAAGTCCTTCTTTCAATTAAAAGGTAAAGCTGACATATCAACCTGGTAACTAATATGAAATTCTGGAGGAGATTTTTGTAGATGCTGGAAAAGAGGTTCCTTGGACTACCCTCTAAGGCCACATTTACACAACATGTTAAACTACTCCAGCTAGTTAATGTGAATGCATATACTACATTCTTACCTTAATAATTACATTAGGTTAATCAGAATGCACCACTTCTCTGTTAATTGTAATACAAAAACACGGAATAGTCACCATGTCTGATTAGAATGTTAAAGCATGGCTATTCGTTGGTTTGTAGATGTTTTTGCACCACACCTTTATCTACTCTAATTTATGTGAATATATATTTCCTTTAGTAGGGAGTGTGACTTTTGAAGATGGAATGTCCACTGCTTCTGGTGTACTGGAAACCCTGGTTTATTAGTTGAGTGCAAATTTTAGTTAGTGTTAATGAGGAATGGTGCTCATCCATGTTTGCTTAATCATAGGGAGTCATCCAATAAAGTTGAGCTATGAATGGGACAGGGGAAATGAGATACAGCATGTGTTCACAAGTTTAATGTGGTGTACAAATTGTATGCCATTTATATGCATACTCCAGGGGCTTAGAGATGCCATGTTATTTTCATTGCATATGTTCTTCAGTGAGACTAGAAGTTGGCAGACAGGAATTTGGCAATCTTGTAGCTCTTGAGCTCATAAATATTAAACGGAAACGATGGATGAGAGCAGAACAAATACCAAGCAAGACTGAAGGCATTAATTGGTATAATTAACTGGAGCCAGCCAACCAGGCTCTCTTATTAGCTCCTTCAGTCTCTCTTCTCTTTCCACAAAATTTTTTCTCTTCCATCCTTTTCACTGTTGGAGGACGCTGAGATAGTCAGTGCATGAAGACAGAGAGGTTGCTTGGAATAATTTTCCTCCCACTCAAATTATCTTGCCAGTGAAGCAGAAAGACATATACAGACATTCAAGGTCTGTAACAGGAGCTTCAGTGAAAAAGACTAAGCCACGGGAGCTTCCAAAGGCTGCAAAGGATATGTTTTTAAAGACCTTGAACGTGAGATTCATTCTAGAAATTTATAGTATTGATTGAAGAATCAGTTGGCTTGCAAAACTGTTCTGGAAACAAACAGTAGTTGTGGCTAATAGTTATTTAAATGTTTAGACCCCATTCAAAACCGAAGTAATGGGTTCATTCCATTTTTTTCTTTTTCCAAATTCATTAGTTGGGCAGTTGGTGCGAAACTCCAGTGACTGTTGCGTACAATCTAAGTTGTATATAATTCACAAATTGCTTTTATTTTATGTGTTCTTAGAGAACTAAGTCCATTGGATTATAACATTACTTATAAAGTAAGATATAAATTATATTCTATTATATAAAGTATAATATATAAAGTATTACATTTATATTATATATTATATTATATAAAGTAAGATATAAATTATAAAGCCGTTGCAATCCTAGGTTGCAATAACACGAATAGAATCAAGATCACGTGAAGTATTAGTACCCTTTTATAAAGGTTTAATAAAACCATATTTAGAATACTGCATCCAGTTTTGGTCACTATATTATAAAAAAGGTGTTGAGACTCTGAAAAGAGTGCAGAAAAAAGCAACACAGATGATTAGGGGGTTGGAGACTAAAACATACAAAGAACAGTTAAAGGAATTGGATATGTTTAATCTAGTGAAAAAAAGGACTGAGGTGACATGATAGCAGTGTTCCAATATTTGAGGGGCTGTCACAAAGAAGGGTGTCAACTTATTTTCCAAAGCACCAGAAGGCAAGACAAGAAACAATGGAAACTAATCAACAAGAAAAGCAACCTAGAATTAAGATGAAATTTCCTGACAGTGAGGACAATTAACCAGTGGAACAGCTTGCCTCCAGACATTGTGGGTGATTCATCACTAGAGGCTTTTAAGAAGAGACTGGACAGCCACTTGTCTGGAATAGTATAGGGTCTCCTGCTTGAGCAGGGGGTTGGACTAGAAGACCTCTAAGATCCTTTCCAGCTCTTATTCTGTTAAGATAAATGCTTATTGGAGCTTTTGCTCATAAAAAAGCGTTTACCTAAATTAGGGAGTTGCATTGTACTGAGAAATTGAATTCTCAATCATTTTCCTTAGCCTACTGTTGCTGAGAGCCACACTTATCAGTCAATAAGTCGGCAATCTGAAGGTTGCAAAGGGTAAAGAGTGGTACACATAGAACTGAGAGGAAGTGTTTTGTTTTTCCTTCTCTGGGGAAGCGGCTGGAGAAATTTTGAGGGCTATTTCATTTGTCTAAAAATCATTATCACTACCATCAGTTTTCAGGAATTACATTCAGAATGAGTCCTAGGAAGTGGTCGGAGGCAACTTATAGTCCCAAGATTGTAAGTAGCCATCCCTGATCTAAATAATTTGCTGGGAGAAAACCTCCCAAAATCCTATTCAGTATGGCTGTTACCTGTAGGTGTTGAGAACTAGTTTCAAATAACAGAGAACTTAGAAAGTAATACAAGAGACATACTTTATTTAACTAGATTTCATCTGGCCATCACTAGTCTTCCTCTGATTGCCATAGCTACAATTGGGGGTAGCTCTGTCCCATTCCATAGGCCTATTTTACTTTTTGTATAGCATTCCATTACCTGTAGTATTTTTGCTTTTGTGGCTAATAAATGATTCTGAACCACCAAATTCTTAAATCACCTATTTCTGTGCCCATTCTGTGCTGTATAACTTGTTTGCCATTTGTTCCAACGGCGATGGAACTACTTTAAGTAGTTTAATACTGTATTACCTTCCTATTTTCTGCCATGGTTAACATGATCCTGTATTAAAAAAATCAGGTTCTTTGACAAAGTAATCTCTCAACCATTCAGTTACCAAATGCTCTTTTAAGAGTCCTCACTGCTCTATGTAATTATTTTCTGCTTCATAGTTGTTTCCTATATTGTTTTCATAATGATCCTTCCTCTTGCTTGGCCACAACCTAAGTCTCTTGAATGAAATATGGTTCAAGTCTTTTCTTACCTTACACTGTTCATTCTCTTACAGATATGATAAAAGGGAAGACCTCAAACCAGGCGACCCACTTATGCTCTTATATACACATGTACTTATGGAGATGAATTCAGCTCAACTGTCACATTACAAGACAACTCACAAAGTTCTTGTGCATATTCCTGGCACCAGTGGAATTGGGTTGAATTTTACGGCACTGCCCCCTATTACTTTAAATTTGAAAACCAAACTAGTATTGTTGGAAAAGCTCCCCGTTTCTTTTGGAAAATAAACGTTAACAAGTTTGAAATAGTTTTTCCTAAGTTGTGTTGCACTGATTCAAAACCTTGACATGTCAATGAAAGATCAATACTATTTGATCCTATTCATTTCATGTACCTGAAAAACTTTCATATAATATATATTACATGTAATGCCAGCTATATTTCAATACAAAGTACATACATTCAAGACTTTTTTCTACAGTTATATAGGAAATCTACTAAATAGTTGTCTTTATGTAACACTATATGTGGTTTAATGTTTTCACATTGTTTTCTATCATGTTGAAAAATAGCATAATGTGCTGTTTTGGACCATAATATAAAATTCATATGTCAATAAAAAAAAAATCTTATACCTAAACCTGAATGTCATTAGGCTCAACAAAATCTGGAAATCAATGGATGCTATTTCTGTTTTTATCTGTTGGGCGGTTTTGCTCATAGACAATATTTGCATACAAGCCCATATTGTCATCCCGATAACATTCCTTGACCAGGTTTCCTTTGTCAATTATCAGTTATGGAGTAAACATTAGCAGTGTTATGGGAAAGTTAAGTTGGCCTTGAAATATTAAGAGACAGCCAAGCATAAATCAAGAAAAATAATGCTGGGTGTCAAAAATGCCATTTGTTTTAATTCCTTACAGGTTTTTAAGTGGTAATTTCTAAATATATAGCTAATTATTTAAGTCAGCTATACTGACTGTTCTCAGTGGCCAGATAAAGCAATGGGTTAGAAAGTATAATTGTGGATGATCTACAACTTGTAATTGAATATATGCAAAAAAATATCTTACATAACTCTTAAAATCATTCATCAGTGTACCTTTACATAGTACAAGTAGGGTGCAAATTGACTTTGATGCAAGAAATACCATCCTGTAAAACTGGTTTAACTACGCTGCTGTGTTCTCTTGTACTCTATTGTACAAGTTTCATCAATTTTGTTATTCTTTTACATCAAAGAAAACAATGTCTTCCTTGATGTACAACTTATCTATTCACAGAAGCTGCTACTATTTGGAAGGGAAACATTAATTTCTCATGTTCAAAACCTGCAAAACCTATCAGGTATCATCTTGTTTTGTAGAAACAAGAGTCAGCTACTGGAAGTTCTTTAAAACACTGCTTGGTTCCTTCTGGAAGAATGTACTGTACTACCCTTCCTGCAATTGCCACTTGCAATTATTTAATGTGAATGGAGGTATACCTGATGTCTTATATGTATACTCAACTATGGTATGAATATAGTCTTATGGAACCTTAAAAACAAACACATGTTCATTATGATAGCTACTGCAAAAAAAAAATCCATGAAAGATTATAATTGGATTGACATTATGTAAGATAACACAAGACTAAGTTTTTTTGGAAGGGGAAGAGAAACCCATATTTTTATAATTATGGTCATAGCATAGTTAAAATTGGTACTTAAATACCTGTGAAGTGTTAAATAACACTTCTTTATCTTTCTTCTAAAATTATATTTTTAGCCCTCAAATGTCACCTTAAGGCACAGGTAATAAATGTTTTATTTCCTATTACTGAAAATTATTTTTAGCCAGAAGTGTTAAAACCATAGGTTCTATGCAGTATTCTTTGACCTCATTTTAAGATTTATTATTTCAGAATATTTAGTTTCCTACACTAGCTGAAGTATCTGAAAGTATTGTTTTCTATATTATTACATTTGAGCTGTGAAGATTATGTTAACATTAGCCAAACTCTATCAGAGCAACTCAACATACCTTGTTACACAGAGTGAACTCTTGTGGTCATGAATGCTGTTACCCAATAGCCTTCCATATTTTCAGCTTCCTTACTTTTTAACTAGCCAAAATGTTTAACTGTACATAGCAAATGTAAATATTTCATTTTGTTAACTATGTGAGACTCACTCATTATATAAGCACATGCATTCTATAAACATACCCCACACATTTGTGATTACTGGTGGGTATCAATTTCTCAAATATGTAAGCTAAATTAGTAGAAGAAAGGAAAACCAGTTTAACCACCCAAGATGTTTGGAACAACATCTCAATGGTATAACAATGGCCCGTAGCTATGTATACCCACTGACCTTATCTCAAATTGCTGTCTACAACATACCACTTTCAGTGTCTTCTCTCCACTGCTGCCCACAGTTCTGACCACTTTTAACATGGTCTAGTTTTAACTTAAATTCATTAAATATATATATGTATGTATATATGTACGTATGTGTGTGTGTGTGTGTATATATATATATATATTAAGGTTTACATGATCACTTTTTTTTTAAAAAAAGTAGATCAATATTGTACTTACTGAAGATATTTCAAATATATTTGGGCCATATTGCATCATTCCATTATATGTCTCACTGTATGGGAGACAGAAATAATACAAGGAAATGTTTCATTGACAGACTGTAGAAACTTGCCTTCTAATTCCTATTCCAAAAGTTGTTATATCCAGATTATGCCCATACACTTTCAAGAATCACTAAGTCCCCATTGCATTCTGAGGGGGAAAAATGGCTGATGCAGACTCGTTCTCTAAAAATTGCAAATAAGATGTTTAATTTCAGAAACTGAATCCATCATTTATAAATACACTAAAACATAATAAATGCAAAAATTAGGCAGACATACAGTACAGTATTTCAACAAAACTACATCTTTCCTAAAAGCTGTAGTTAATTTATTTTCCCAAAGAATTTTATCAATGCATTGGGGGGGATGGGAAGAGGAGGGGGAGAAATATTATTTTAAATTCTTTTAAAATGTGGACAGCAAATGTAAATGCTGGCTATTCTTACCTGCTGTCTGAGGATTATTAAAATTCTACAATATCCTACTTGGCTGATAGACACTATCAATTATGGTCAGTTCTACTATATAACATTCTATGTAGGACTCCTGTCTATGGGCTGTGCAAATTCTTCAGGTGCATGTGAAGTGCCTGTGCATGCAAGGACAATCCGATGCAAGTCCTGCGTGTTCTGAAGCACCTTTTCCAAAGTATTTGCACAACCTTAGAAAGCATATTCATTGAAAATCAAGTTCGTGTAACAGAAATAAGAGAAGAATGCCATATATAATTTTCAGTTACATGGGAACCCTTAACTACATTTTCCCAAGAAGTAATTAATGTTTTAATTCATTCAATTGTAAAAGACTTGGCATGATGCCCCTTTATATTTTTATCTTTCAATGCACTGCATTAAATAACAAACATTAATTGGAAAATTTTGGAAATAAACACCCAAAAACCTTATAAATACTCAAGCTCTAATTCAGTTACAGTGTAAAAAAAACCTGAATAAAGACCATGAATGGCAAATTTAGATTACTGTATAACTGGTTTCTTAATAACTCTTAAGTTTAGTCAAATACTAATTCAACTGCCCTCTTTAGTACATACATAGTTGAACATAAGAACATTAAGCCTGCAGTTAAAACCTGCTAAATAGGAAGATGGCTTCATTTCCACCTTTATATACAGCTTTTTCTGCAATTAAAGCAATGTTCAGCTAATATACAGTACCTGGTTTCTGTTTTTTTACATAATTGAATAAAAAGCTACATAATAGAACTCTTTACATCCATTTTGCCATTCTATTCAAAATGTTTTAAAATTTCATTTACAATATTCAATCAAAAGCTACATTTTTTAATAGTTGGGACAAAGACAAGGCTAATTCTAATAGGATTTTTTTTAAAAAAAGATGTATGTACACTATATCTGGCCTGAAGGACTACTGATAAGGCACATGTAGACACAGAGAAAACTGAAAAATATAACTAAGTTTCAAACAAGAGGCATTGATTAGCTGTCATACATGGCCCCTAAATGGAGCAATTAAGTTACAAATATAGTAATTATCCAGTGAATAACAAGTTTAGACTGGCAGCCTGTTCATTAATTTCAATACTGGAAGTATATCAAAGGAAGATTTACTTTCAAAAATATAAGTTTTTCAAAGTGTTCCATTGTTAGTCTTGATTGACTAAAGCTGATGCTTTCATTGGATGTATTGAATAATCTCTCTGATGGAACGATGCTTGGAGGACAACCTAGGAATCGAACAGCCAATTTTGACAATACTGGCCAAGATGATTTCTTAAAATTCCAGTAAGTGAGGGGATCACAGTTATGTTCAAGCACTTCTTCCTCCAGATATAAAAGCACCATTTCCTCTGGCAACTTAGTCTTTTCTTTTGTAAGTTTTGCTTTTTTCATGTCTTCCATTAGCGACCAAAGACTATTGTCCCCGTAAGAGATTTTAGATGATGAACCTATACCACAACCATTGGAAACTGGTTTATTGTCATCTGAGGTAGCGTTTAGTATTTCTAGCTCCCTGATTAAGTCCTGTTTATACTGTTCTGCTTCTTCTTCTGTGAATAAGGAGGTCTTATATCGAGGGTCTAAAAGTGTAGCAAAAATGTATCTTGGATCATGGAGTATGGAGGATAATCTACTCACCATAGCTTCTTTTAAGGACTTTAGCATAGTATCTATGCCCATTGTTTCCTCAAACAGTAGTTCAATTTTCCGGTTTAGAATATGAATCATTGGAATTACTTGGCTTAAGGTGGATATATGCGTACTCATCTCTCTACTTGCAACTTCAAATGGTTTGAGTGCATGACAGACAGATTGCATCACTTCCCACTGATCACAGCTTATTAATTCCCTGAAGCTACACTCTATAGACATTTCATCAATAGCTCTTTTCTGTTCAATTAGCCTTTCAAGCATATGAAATGATGTATTCCATTTTGATGGGACATCTTGGATTAGCTGATGCTGTGGCAAATGATACTCTTTCTGTAGCTCTGCCAATTTCTCTTTTGCTTTCGGCGAGCGATGAACACGTTCACATATCTTTCTGGCAATGCTAAGCAGGTTTTGAACCATCCTCTGGCTTTTAATAGCTTCATTCACTATGAGATTCACGGTGTGACAAAAGCATTGCACACTTGAATGTTCCCCTTCATTTAAAGTTTTTCCTATTGTCTGATTATCTGTAACAGTAATCCCAATCTGCAGCCCAATTGATGTTATCCAGGCTTCCCACCAATATTCTAGTTGCTTCTGAATGCTGATACCATTATAGTCACAATCAATCTGTGAAACATTTAATAAAGCCGAACAATGGTAATCTTCACACTGTGGTCGAACTCGTGACCCAAATGTTACCCAATGAGCTGTGAGAGTTAGATATTCCCGAGTTTGATTGCTCATCCATATTCCAGAGGTAAAATGGACTACACCACTTTCAGCTTCTTTAAGATGTGAAACAATTATTTCTTTCACACTATCATACATATCAGGAATCGCAGTATGAGAAAAATAAGATGGTGAAGGCAA